GTCGGTCCACCTTGTGGGTGGACGTCCCACGCTGCGTTTTCCGGTACGCGGCCCCCATTCCAGAACCTTGCTGCCCCATCGGCCGTCAGTTCTGCGTACAATGTTGTATGTTGCAGATACTCTATAATATCTCTCTATCTGGGGTGGTGGCGTAGTGAGGCGGGTCGTTACATTCCCTCTAATATGGTCGAGTGAAGCGATGGCTGGTTCACTCGTCATGTCTGTGAACAGGCGCTGCTTTCGGGGACTGGTCAATCCAAGTTATTCCAATTTATGTATGCGAGTCATTTCTACTAGTATTTAAGTGTGTTATCTGTAAGTCTAGATATTAGCACGTCACTACCTTGTTTAATAAACCACGCAATTTTGTATACCCATTCTTATAAGATACACTATACAAGAATGCATGGTAAATTCAGTGAACTGCTCCTGAATCGAATGTACCTACTACTACTATTTCTATTTATTTATATTAACCGGCAGACAGTGGTGACTGAGTTTGTTGCGGCGCTTCTTCTCAGCACTTGCCAAATGTTGGTCTCGAAGCGCTGGTAGGGTAAAAAGATTATGAGACATGTAGAGGCTCCTTAAGAGCAAAATGACGATTTGTAAGAACTATTTATTAGTCTAAACAAATAAAGAAAATTTTGACTTTGACTTTGACTTTGAATACCCATGTATGTAGTCATAAAAACTATTAGCTGCTTGTTTATTTGTAAGGAGAGTGTAACGACGACCGACGATCTAGTAAAGGTCGCGGGAAGAGCCTGGATGCGGGCAGCGCAGGACCGCTCATTGTGGAAAACCTTGGGGGAGGCCATTGTCCAGCAGTGGACGTCATTTGGCTGAAACGAACGAAGGAGAGTGTGATGACAATTATATGCTGCCGTAGTCAGTTCTCGTCCTTAGACTCCTTCGAAATCCGTGTTTATGATTTGAAATATCAGTACCATGTTGACTAGGATTAACTGTAATATAATTACTCAATGGCTATAACCACTGATACAAAAGGCTTACATTAACAACACTATCTTCGATTAAATACTATGCCCAATCACGCTTCAATTGTAAGTGTTGTAACTTGCCATAAACGCTATAGTTTCGATTGTAATTTATTATTATTAAGGCAATGGAGATGTCATAAAACTGTACACTAACACCGCCATATTAACTTCATAATCACCTAGTTTTGTAACTAGTACATTTGACCAGTATTGGGTTGGAATACAAATAGATATGCTGTTATCGTTAAATAGTTGTTTTTTTAAGTATGACTCGAAAATATAGGTACCTAAATCCCAATATGACTCAATGTAGGCGGAGAAGTGGCGCCAACGATTATGCCGATTCTATGAAACACGGTACGAGTAGGTAAATGTTAAGTGCTATCTACTTACAAGGTAAAATTGGTGTTATTATCATAGTAAAATGATGACAATTTTAGTCTATTTGAAATCTGGGGATTATCTAGTTTTAATGAAAAGTGCCTATGCTCAGGCCAATGACTTGAATAAACTTATTCGAAGAGGTTTTTAGCTACTTGCTTAAGAATTGAATTGCTTTTTGAAGATAATTATTTTTCAGGACTTCGGAGTCTAAAAGTACCACATGATATAATTTACGTAGTATCAGAGTTCAATAAATTGTCGCAATGATGCAATATACAGTCTGGCTGAAGTCAGTCAGTGGGTGTTATTGAAGTATCTTAATTCTACATTATTTTGTCTACTATGGGCAATATGGACATATATAGAAATAATGTTGTATTTGGTTGCATAAGAATAACCATGTTAAGTTTTACTATAACTTAGCTAGTTTTGTTATAGACCAAGATTATTGATATATTTTCAATGTTGAAACTACGCAATTTTTTTATTGAGATTGTGTGACTTATTGCGCATTAGATAAATTATCTACGACAATCTTTGCATATCTCAGATAATGCGAAATTCGGCGTAGATTTTTTGACGCCCCATTCTACAAACTGCGCATAATTATGTGCAATAGGATCATTGCAATGCATATTTTTAGCTGTCCTTGGCAAGAACATGATTTGCTAATGTAGACGTGCGACTGAAAATATTGTGTTTACAAAATCACCTGTCTTGTTGACTATTAGCTTGTATGTAAATGTAAATATGCTGGACAGGATCTAAACTCCGGTATAGTATTATGTTCTGGGGAAATAGTTATAAATATAATATTTCAGCAGCATTCGTGTTGCAGAAGCGAGCTATCCGCACCATGAAACGCATTCCTCAAATAGAGTCATGTAAAACACATTTTGCAACGTTAGGTATTTTAACTGTCCCGTCATTGTATATTTTTACCTTGTTAACCTATCTAATAAAACACTTGTACAAGTTTGAGTCAAATGAAGACAGAACACAGAGAGAACTCACACGCAAAAAAAACTTACAAATTGCTATAGTACCTAAATAAAATATCGCTAGTCACTGTGTAAGATACCAAGCAATTAAGTTATTTAATGCCTTGCCTGTAGAGTTTAAAACTATTTATAATTTTAATAAATTTAGAAATAAGCTTAAGTCTTTGTTATTGAAGAAATGTTATTATTGTATTGAGGATTATTTAAATGATAAAAAGTAAAGATCTCATTTTGTTAAATGCTTCCTTAAAGTTTTATGCTGTGTTGTATAATTTGTGATTTTATATCGGTTGATGTTTTTTAATTTTTCATGTTTTTTGTAATATTTCCAATACGATAATGTTATTGTTTATGGAATAAATGACTATGACTAGGAAGTTGTAGTAAACCGTTTAAGTAGCAACAAACGACGTAGTTGTTTTTATTTTAAACACCAAGTCATTCTTGAGCCGAAGAACACATAGAGTTAAAATATTATGTTATAGTGCTTTTTATAAACCCAATTTCAAACGTACTATTCTAAAATAGCAGGCAAAGGTAAAAAATTCTGGTGATGTGGTAATCAGTTCCCACTACAATACCTACATATGCTCGTTAATTCTCTGCGTCTGTTCCTGGATGCAAAATAAGTTACTAGCGATTTCCTTTAATGTGTAAATTAGTCGGAACCAAGCTAGGTCGTAACTAACACTTACCGCCTTCTGACACTCCAGTTTATCGACACGTCTTTTATAAGCATCTAAATGCTTAAGCAATTATTTTTATTTGATTGTACATAATTGGTCATTCTACCCTTTTTGCGTTGTAGACTTGTGACGCGCCCCAGGACGCATCGACAGCCCTAGCACCGAGCGCGGAGATTTTGACAACCCTACGGCTGCGCGGCCGCACGCCGCACGGACCGAGCTAATATAAGAGACGGCGGCGACCGCGGGCGCCTAGCATTCGCTCGGGAGCCATTGCAACAACCAGACGTTCGCGCGCGCGTCTATTGTTCCCTCGGTTGCATTGCACAGAGTCCCTAGCGAATTGCTACCCACACTGTTCCCACTAACTTGGCTTGACTCGATACCTCGTTTACCTCCGCGGAGCCATAAAGCTTCGTGTTGCTGTTGAAACGTTCTATCGTTGATAGCTGCCTATTCTCATCCTTACCGAGTAGTGCATGTGATACTCATCCCGAAACTGCGGTAGCAATCCTGCTGCCACCCATCCCAAACTTCATACCCCCTCGCCACGTAGGTCCGACGCCTTTCCCCTAGTGGTTTCAGCTCGCCTGACGACTTAGGTCTCATGGTTCTAGCGTATGAAATCACGTCCTACCCCCCTAGTTATAAGTATCCACTAACACTCGCTAAACCTCGCACAGGGCGCCGCCCCTCTCGCGGATACGTTAACTAGTTTCGGGACACGGACCGGGCGCGTCGTCATTCCTCTCGTTGTAATTAGTAAATTGTGATATAACTTGTAAAGTACTTGTAAACTTGCTCATTATTAAATAATAGTAATTTAGAGTCAGTGAAACTAGAATAAGTAAACTATTGTGGAACTTGAATTATAAGTGCCATTGTGTTATTGATTGTGCGTTTCCTTGGTCGAATATCCCTGTAGGCATCCTGAATAGGTACACATCCCTCATCGCAGAAGGCGAACTGGGACTTAGTACTAAACAGCGGGGTGTCAGACTGAGCTAGCTTAGACGCCCCGTTGCAGACTACGTGAGAAACTTTTAGACGAGACTAAAAACTAATGATTGATGATTTCTCACTCGCATAAAAACATGTTACATCGTGTATTAGAATTTAATCACCGCTAATACGAAAGATAGTTTGCGTTTATGTTTCCATTACATTAATAGCGAGGTATACGAACCGACAGACGAATATCGGTTCAGGAATAACAATATAAATGATAGACATAAATAAACAGGACCAATTGCATAGCCAGGAATTGTTCTTCGACAGTTTGACTAATTTTGAGTTTCTCAATTAATACTGTAACGTCAAAAATCTGTCAAACTCTATACAAAAACCACCGGCTATCGTTAAATTTACGGTCAAAGTTATAGGTGGTGCAACTCAGCCTTAGTGTCATGTATGTCAGATAGTTTTTAATTTCTTACATTATTGGGACGTGTGCTAATTGATGGCACTGGAGTCGGAACATGCGCATCTTTGATTGATGATTAGATCAATCGATAACGCTATTCGAGAAGAGAAATGGTACAACTTAATATGCATCATCATTCTAAATAATGTTAATTATATTCGTCTGTGCTCATCCTAGGATTATATTAGTCTTGCATTTGATAGCTCATAATATTGATGTATGTGCATTTGGATAATACAAGATAGTATTAATTTAATAAATGGTACTCGTATAAAGTACATACACGGTTTTAATTCAATCCTTGAACTGTTTGAAAAATAAAGCTATGAGTATGTATCTAGTGTAATAAGCTACACGAATTGAAGATAAATTCTTGATAATATGCAGCATTAAATCTTGCCTAGTTGATAAATATGAATGTTTTCGTTAAAGTGGGTTCATGATTTTGTGTTTTGAAGTATGTGTATCGTGTTTATTTACAATGTTTCTGTTTTCTTTTCAGATCGCGCAGTCTATAAATAACCATACAGCTGTAAGTATTTAAATTAATTTAAAATACCCTTTCCTGTTTACACTCGAAGCTCCTTACCGGGAATTCGGTTTTTTGCGGTCTTTCTCGCGTCAATGACAGTTTTATGCGACCGCTTGTTGATCAATTAATGCAAGCAATTTCTCAGTGCCCTCCTCATATAGTTGTAAGGAACATTAATTGGAATGCCTTTATGGAATGAAGATTTCAATATTACTTTTCAACCGACTTAAAAAAAGGAGGAGGTTCTCAATTCGACCCGTATGTTTTTTTTTTCTATGTTTGTTACGCGATAACTCCGCCAATTATGAACCGATTTGAACAAATCTTTTTTCGGCGTATAGGTAATACCTCAAGGGTGGTCCCATTTAAATTTAATAATAGAAAAAACAACCCCCAAGGGTGGAAAATTGGGGATGAACTTTTTTATACGCAATATCTCCGCCGATTATAAATCAATTTGAACGATTATTTTTTTGTTGAATAGGTATTATCAAAAGGCTGGTTTCATGCGAATTTGAAGAAAATATTTCACCCCCAAGGGTGGAAAATTGGGGATGAACTTTTTTATACGCAATATTTTTAATTTTTAGTTTTTTTTGTGTTCACGCATTTGAAGTCGGTTTTATTTTTTTAAAAGTTAATTATTCGTTTAAATGGACGGTTTATTGTAATTTAATGTTTTGGAGACAGTCGCGAAATGCCTTCCAGATTTGGTCTTAAGACCTACCTATAAGCGTAAGATATTTACATTATTTATTCAGTTAAAATGTACATAATATTTCCACAACATCTTAACACGTAAACAAAGCGATTAGACATTTCATTCACAAACATTCTCACTCCAATAAATTTTCGTTAATGATTTTGTCACGGCTACAGTCGTCTAAATCTGTCATGTGAGTATCGAATGTCGGCGGCTGATAAGTCGCTGATAACTCTCCGATAACCCTGCTCATCCGAAGGGCGCCCGCCCGATAGCGGTGTAAATATCCACAGATAAACTTCCAGGAATTTCGGGATAGCAGGAAGAATGGATTTTGTGAATCAACCGAAAGTTACGTTTTTATCTGACATTTGACACTGTAAAATGAAGCTGGAAGTCCAACAAATAAATACCCTGTTGGTTGGTGTCTGGTAACGGGGTTACACTGTTATTTTTAATCTAAATTAATACTTTCATTATATTATTTATGCCTTTTGCCTTCAACCCAGTTGTGACTATCCATATCAATATTTTACGTATTAGGCAAATAAATCTCTTTCACATATCGCTCTCTGGTCAGTGAGTTAAGCTGGACAGTTTCCATGTAGCGATTTCCGGCAATTGTAATTTAGTCCATCGGGTCTCACTCAACCGATCGAAAATTCTTGGGGGAAGCCTTTGTCTAGCAGAGGACGTCCTTTGAGAGAACACTTAAATATTTTTGTGCTACTGCGAAATATTTCTTCTTCTTCTTATTCGTTACGCTCTTGGCAGAGCGGTCGTGGTCAGTTGAGGCGTTGTTCACATCGGTTGTAGAGGCGGATACAACTCTCCGCACGATCTCCCGCCATCTCTCTCTGTTGGCAGACTGTCTGGTGCAGTCACATAGGTACGCCGTCTCCTACTGCCGATTTCACTTGGTCGGTCCAGCGCATTGGTGACCTGCCATGCGATCGGGTTCCTTCGACTTTTCCTTGGATGACCAGTCGTTCTATTAGAAATATTTAGTTCATCACAAGACTAGCATGTGGCTGAAATGAGAGAACAAATTAGTATTTTTGTGCTACTGCAAAATATAAAATTAGTTCAGTAGTTTATTCGTGTAGCGCCGGGGCTAAGAGCAGGTCGCCATATTGCCGAATTGAGTCATTAACGATAGTGGCAGATAAGGCGTTTATAAATATGTTACTATGACCAATACGAGAAATATGAAACATACTGCGATAAGAACGCTTAAATTTTCCATAATACTCGTACGATATTATTTAAAAGTCCTAACTTATCTAATTATAGATATAAATGTCACTTCCAATCGTATCGTATTCGTTAATTTATTATTAACACTTTATTTCAGATAGGTACCTTATTACATTAACCAATGCTTGTTGAAGATAACTGTAAGTGTACATGTGCAGTTAAATAATTTTGTTTTATATTAACGTTTTCTAAAAAGTTAGGGTAGAAGTATTTATCTTAAAATAAAACTTTATATCTTAGTTTGGGATTTAGTTTTAACTCTTCGCCAGCTCGCACTGAAATGAATGACCTGATCATACTCATTGCCCCTGACATATACAAGTATTTAATATTTGTTTATTTACTTCAACATTGATGTTATCTAACATATGATAGTACTGTTTTTGTTCCTTATCTCCCGATATTAATTGACTATCGACTTCTTAAAGAGCCTTGTCCTGATTGTATACAACATTATAATTCTAACATAGTTGGCGTGTTCTATGAATACTGATTTTGTTATACTAATGTCTGTAAGTCATATTTTACGTAACTTATTCATCATCATCATCATTTCAGCCATAGGACGTCCATAGGCCGCTGAACATAGGCCTCCCCCAATGCTTTCCACGTTGATCGATTGGTGGCGGCCTGCGTCCAGCGCTTCCCTGTTACGTTACGTTATATTATTACCTTATATTATTATTAATTAAACTCAATATTTTAGCAATTAATTACAAAATAGCAAAAAGAAACAGTAATAAAGTAAGAAGTTTCACAGTTTTTACCCGACTGCACCAAAAGGAGGGTTATTGTATTAATGTTTTCAGTGACGGCCAAAGATACTCAACATGCCCCAATAAGGTGTATCATTAAGCCCTCCACTTTAGAGCGTATCAATTTCAACAGGCTGATCAAAGTGCACTATAATTTGACATAAGAAATATGTATCCAATTCCTTTTCTACTTTTTTAACCCGTTCCGACCCTTTGTTCCGTTTTTGAAATACCGTCATCTGTTTTTGCCGCTTTTTTGTCGCACCACTTTCCATGGATCTCGAAATGAATCAAAAAACCATCAGAGTAGAGTTTTTTGATACGTCCCAGGAAGAGACTGGTTCTTTCTTCGTAATGGTGGCAAGTTGACAGTTGGGGGTTCGTTTTTGCTTTAGGACAAAAAGTTCACGATGACTCTTAAGTATTGAAAGAACGCATTAAAATTTTGAAATAATTAATCAATGAGTGTTGAATGTCCTCCGTAGCAATCAAACTTAGGCCCATTACTGAAAATTCGAAAGTGTAGCCTAGGTATTTGCAGCCATAACATCATTCAAAATTCATCATCATCATTTCAGGCATAGGACGTCCACTGCTGAACATAGGCCTCCCTCAATGATTTCCGCAATGGCTGTTTGGTGGCGGTCCATTCAACACTATACGTGTTTATTTTTCAGTATCATAAAGTATTGTTAAAAGTCAATCATTGTATTGTTAAAAGTTGTAGTAGTTCATATAATTTGATTTTGTAAACTTAGATGTGTGCGAACATATCGTCACACTACTTTTTCCTTACAACATTTTAACAATCGTTTTTTGCGATAACTATTTATGTAAAGGAAATACATAACAGTACTTTTATCCTTATAAATTTTACGGAAAATTGCCAGTTATCAGCATGCACGGGTTAATTAGCATAATCACTATTATTCTTCTAATTACATACATGTTTTTGCGAAACCCTACCGCGTGTGTTATAGGTTCATACAAGTTATTTATTTATTATATTTCGTTTCCTTAGTTAAAATAAAAACATGCCTAAAATATTAATCAGTTAATTAAGCCCATAATTAACAATTGGTAAATGTATGCAGCATTATTTTTCATAAATGAAACAAAACTAGAAGTAACTAAGTTTTTTAACTAGCGTAACGTAACATTAAATATACTATCATTTTGTATTATAGGATTTTTCGAATTAAAATATCCCTGACAGTCATTAATTAATTTCAGAGAACTGAGAATCTGATTGATTAATTGATGAAATAGGCAAATATACCTATCTAACTGAAATTTTAGGGCCTTTTTATGAAGTGGTTTGCATATGCTCATTACTAGCGCGAAAGCATGCCACTATTGAGCAATTGCTACTTAGTAGCATGTCGTGTGTCAAAACATTTTTAATTAATAATAAATAACTAGACTAATTTCGAGTTGTTCGAGCACTCTTGTTTTAAGCATGCCAATAAAAATTATCATTTTATGATATTCATAGTTTGTCTTGGAGTTTTTAACTGTCCATTTTTTAACAATTCGATATCAGGGTGACGATTCAAACCAAAACTAGACAACTGACTCACATATTCTTATTTTTGGGGTTTTCACTACCCCCGCACTATGGAGCGAAATTGAGATTTATGGACATAGCGATTTTTTTCACAATTTCTATTTGAAAAAAATACCTATCGATAGGTTACGTTATTCTAATGAATAAATGCTGCACAAGTTTTTCTCTAAAACCAATAGTTTGACTGGAAAAAAATATTTTCCATTTTCGTTGTATGGAATGAAACATAAAGTGGTCGATTTCGACTAAGCCTTGACAGATCTTGCTTTGAAACTACTTGAGCCTTGTTCTATGGCTTGTTGACTGTAATCCTACGCTATCAGCGCGCATCCAAAGTTGCCCGTTCACAAGTTATGAGGTTCTGAAAAATTAAAAAAAAAGTAAGTAAAACTGACTTTTTTTTTGGAATATCTTTAAAGATTTAACAAAAATATAAAGATTTTATACGTTAATAATGTAAATTAACCTTAAATTACTGCTAAAACACATTTTAATAAACTTAAAAGGAATTAAATCAGCGATTTTTTTTTCACAATTTCTGTTCAAAAAAAATACCTGTCGATAGGGTATGTTATTCTGATGAATAAATATTATGAACGTTTTTCTCTAAAACCAATAGTTTGACTGGAAAAAAATATTTTCCATTTTCGTTGTATGGAATGAAACATAAAGTGGTCGATTTCGACTAAGCCTTGACAGATGATTATAGTCAACAAGC